ATATATATATATGGAAAACTCTAGGGTCAGCCTATCAACTGATGAAATAGTATAAGCTTCAATCTAGGCCGACCTGACAATCAGAAATATATTTTGGTAAAATAATTTTAGTGCTTTTTTTTATACATCCAACTAACATGAAATTTTGAGCATCAACTCTTCTCATTAATGTGCATCTTATAAAAATATTTAAAAAGTTATTCGCATAAAATACGTTGACTAAAATACCCCTAAAACATTTCAAGAGTATTTTGATCAATCTATTTTATGTGAATAATTTTTTTATATTTTTATTAGATTTCAATAGTTTTGAAGAATAAATACTCTAAATTTCAAATGATTTAAATTTATTAAAAAAAATTAAAATTTAATTATGAAATACAACCTTGACTATTGGATTAATTCGGATTCAATATGGGCCATTAAGGCTTACCCTGTTTCATCAGCCGCTGATAAGAACTTGATATATATATATATAGATATATATATATGGAAGGGAAACGGTTGTATACGCGATGTCGCGTAGGTGGCTTGTTTACGCCAACGGTTCTGATCGTGCCCCTCAAATGGACGGTCCACTTCAAAAAGCTTGTCTCTCCTCGAGAGCATCTTCTGCAACTTGCCTCTAAGACAAGCTTCTTCCTCAGGGCCACCAACTACACTAAAAATGGTCTCTCTCTCTCTAGTTGAAGCACACGCCTCTCTCTTTCTCATCGCGCCCCTCTCTGTGAACCTGAAGCACGCTAGCCCCCTCTCTGCCCTCTGTGCCCTATCTCTCTGCAACTTTCCCTTTCCCTGCAACTTGCCCCCAAGACAAACTTCTTACTCAGGGCCACCAACTATACTCAAAACAGTCTCTCTCTCTCTAGTTGAAACACGCGCTTCTCTCCCTCTCATCACGCCCCTCTCTGTGATTCTGAAGCACGCCCTCCCCCTCTCTCTCTCTCTCATCGGAAGATCGCCCCTCTCTGTGATTCTGAAGCATGCCCGCCACCTCGCTCTCTCTCTCACATCGGAAGCACGCCTCTCTCTGTTAAATCTGAAGTACGTCATTTCAGCTATGGATGCCATTTTACTTATGCTTCTTATGGATGCCATTTTACCATGGTCATTTTACATTTTACTAATGCTTCTGGTGGGTGTCATTGTACCATGGTTGCTTATGGATGAGTGATGTCATTTTAGTGATGCCATTTTTGTGATGCTTCCTGATGCTTTCTTATGCTTGCTTATGATCCATACAAATTAATCGATCACGGAAGTTTTGGCCACATTTGGGGGGGTTTCGGGGGTTTCGGTTTTGCAGTGTTTGAATATCTTACACTGAGCATAGAAATTTCTTTAGCAATTTGTATCTCACATAAGTTTTTGCCACATTTAGGGGTTTCGATTTTTTATTGTTTGAATTTCTTACACAGAACAACAAAACTATGAGCATAGATCTGTTTTTTTAAGTTTTTTGGATGAGTAATGATTGCTTATGGTCTATAAAGTTTTATGCTGCTCAAAACCATTTCACAAAATGAATCAGGATTTTGTTTGGGGTTTTTCTTATGGCACGAACCTTGACAAACCTGATTTGGGGGTCTGTCAAAATGAATCAGTCTGTCAAATATGTTACAAAATGAATCATGACTTGTTTATTTAAAGTTTGAAGTATAGCATCCTCAATTGTTTATTCAAGTTAGATGATGACTTGTTTACGTGTTACTTACAATGATAATGATCATGTGGCTTGTAAGAATTTATGAGATGTGATGTTGTTGCTCCATGTTTACGACCTGACTCTCCCCAACAAAATATGCTGAGCTGAATAAATATAAAAATATTATTGAGTTCACACATTCAATAATGTAGATTGTTTACAATAAAAAAAAAACAAAGAACTTCTGATTGTAGCTTATGTTCCATTGTTTTTTGAGGAAAGTTTATGTTTGTATTAAAGGTGAACTTTTTTTAGTTCAAAATTTTTTTTGCCATATGTCGGGGTCTTGGTTTTTCAGTGATTGAACAGATTGTTTTGCTTTGATGCACCATCACTTTTTGATCATGTAATCCAAACTAAATTTGTTATTTCACTTGCTGAATAACACGTCTCAAGTGATCATCTGTTGTTTGCAAATTTACAAAATCCATGCTTCAATAAATTTGGTGGTGATTTTTAGATTGATCCACTGCTCCTTTGTATCATTATGTACTGTTCACTTCCTTTCGGATAGTTCTTTCTTATGGTCACTGTTATCTTAATTTCTCTTTGAACTTGGACTATATTATTTTGGCTCTTTGTAAGTTTTATGAAAAAGTATAGTCCCTAGCCCCCATTTTTATATATTGAGATGTTCATCATGTATATAAACTATGTTAATATTGCATTTTCTTTTCTTACTACAGGGTTATTTTCAAAGTCCGTTATAAGATTCCACTGGTTCACGCCCCAAAATCTTCTTCCTCTACTCCTGAATCCTGATGAGGACATAGAATATTTTTTGTGTAAGTTGTCTTTCATTTTCTTTCCCCCTTTGTGAGATAGATGACTCTAAGCAGTTAGAGTTGGCATAATAGATCAAGCAGTTAGAGTTGGCTTAGTTGGTTACTATCATGTATCTACCCCAAAGCAAGTAATGTTCCAAGGGAATTTCATCCATAATAATAATTTCTTTCTTTCTAGTGTCTACAAATGTTTTAATGTTGTATATTTGAAATTGAAATCTTGATACTCGATTCTATTAGGCACTGTCAATATACATCCTAGTTTGCTGCCCCGCTATCGTGGAGCTGCACCTGTTCAAAGAGCATTACAATTTCAGTTTCTGCTTGGTTTTATATACAAAAGATTTTGATCTATCTTATTCTTGTTTCCAAATTCTAGTGTGTGAGTTCTTTTGTCAGAAAATTTGATTTTGGGCCTTGGAGTGTCAATTGTATATACAGTTCGGGCCTTGGATGCTGGATTTAAGAAATTTCAAGTTGATGATTGCAGCAAAGTACCTTCCCTCCATGAAATATGGACATAGACATTATTGCAGATTCATCAAGTGCAAAAATTAGCAAACATGAGTGAAAAGTTATAGCCTTGACCATGTTATATTAAAAATATAAACACATGGTTGTGTGTATGTAGATATTTTTGTATTTTATGATAATACGCACACACGTCGCTTGAGTTAATTTTTCTAAGCACTCTCCTATAAGTGGTTCTCATGGACTTTGTCACTTATATTTACAGTTTGGTTTTCGAAGTTGTGGAAAATGCAAGATGATTTCTAAGAAATCTCAAAATGTTAGATCCTTGACTTTTGGATGACTCACCAAGTACCTGCAAAGGAAATTTTTTAAAGGAAACATTTTCAGCACTATCAGTGCTCCATAGAAGAGTGAATATTCCCGTGAAAAAAGGCACAGTTAACCAGCATCCAGGACTACTGCTCCAAACACTTGCATCACCCACCTTCTGCTAAAATATACATGAAGGCGTTCCAAGATCCAATATATCCCACTAAAGAAAAGGTCAATAAGAGGTAACCCATTGCTGTCCTACTTCATTGAATATAAAACATCGAGAATCAATCTTGACTTGCCACCAAGTCAAATACAACAACTATTAAGAGTTTACTATTGGAGAAAATAAAAATGGAAGAATTACCTCCCCCACCAAACAGGTCACTCTGGGCGGTGGTGGTGGAGCAACCTTCATGTGGCTCCCTCAAAAGAAACTTAGCTAAAACAAAATTTCTCCTTTTGTTTGCTCTAATTAGTATCCGCTGCTTGACATTAACAAAGTTTACTTTGAGAATTTGAATCCTCAATATGGACCATACAAAAGAAATCATTGCTGATTATGCAACCTATTGCAAACAATTTCCCATGTCATCCATAACAGTAAACAAGTAAAGATAATAGAAGGGAGAATGTCATAGTCTAGTGTATGAATTTTCAAACTTTCTTCTCAATCCTCAGGTTTTAAACAGTCCAGCCTAGCATGCAACAAAGTTTTCAACTGAACCAATATGTTCCTATTGCACTCAATGGCATCGAGGCAAGTAAGAAAAGAAAGAAAAAAGATCAATATTGGTAAACAGTGTATACTATCACAATTTGAACGATTGAATGCTACCATCAAAAGGCATTTTGCTTACCGATAATAACTTCAGGCACAAACCCATAACTTGGTGGGGTGAATGTCTAATTTAAAAATTGAATAAATGTGAATGTATATTGCCCATTTCAGTTCAAGATGCCATTTAAAATTCACCAAGATATGTGATGAAACAAACACAGAAACCCAACCTTGACTGGCTTCTAACATGCACCAATGGTCAAACATAAATAAATTGAAAGAAAATACCCATCAATTAAAAACTACTCAAAAAGCAAATAACCTTTACAACAGTCAATGTTGAAACTATTTACATACTCAAATCTGATGACAGTAAACTTGTTACATACTATCTAGTCGTATCAAACACTTTTCAACAATTGTAATATAAACATAAAAGACCTCTCTACACACAAGAAAACTAAAAACGGTTTCATACACCTTAAAGTATCAATAATTTGTTGTTGAATAACTATCGGTTCAAGCTTGACCGTAATACACTCTTGCGATTCTTGCGACTGATTGTTCTGGTGTATATCACGACGTCTCAAGTTTATATTGTAATTCATCCCTTCCATATATTCATCTTACTATTGAAAAAGTGTACAATTTGTATACCGATAGTACATTCCTCCAGGGTTAGATCGGGAGCTTGATGTACTTAATTTGCATTGTAAATTGCATCGTGGACAAGTTCGCCATTGATATCCTCCGACACTTATGGAAACTGATGACATGCTATGTACTTCAAAGGTCTAGACCTGCATCCCAATTTCATAAAAAGAAAACGAAGGAAATGAATTTCTCTTGTGTAGCATAATCAAATACTAAAGTAATCAATAGGAAAAAAAAACTCACACAAAGAGCTTTTCTTGCGAATACCTGACATGGAGATTAACTCCAATGTATCTAAACATATCCATGAAAAACAAAAAATACCACAACCTGCAAAAATACAATTACAGACCCCCAAACTAAGCATGATTCATCCAAAAAAACCTTGATTTTTGACAGATTGATTCATTTTGACAGACCCCCAAATCAGGTTTGTCAAGGCTCGTACCATAAAAAAACCCCAAACAAAGCCTAATTCATTTTGTAAAATGGTTTTGAGCTCATACAATTTTGCATACCACAAACTAAGCATCATTCATCTAATAACAAATCAGGCCCAAAAAATACAATTTTATAGACCCCCAAACTAAGCATAATTCATCCAAACCAAGCCTCATTATTGACAGACTGATTGTGCTACAGACCCCCAAATCTGGTTTGTCAAGGCTCATACGATAAAAGAAAAACCCAAACATAGTCCTTAAGCCAGCATCACTCATCCAAAAAACCCAAAAAAACATATCTATAATCATAGTTTTGTTGCTCTGTGTAACACATTCAATCACTGAAAAACCAAGACCCCCAAATGTGGCAAAAAATTATGTGAGATACCAATTTCTACAAAATTTCTATACTCATAGTTTTGTTGCTCTGTGTAACACAATCAATCAGTGAAACCAAGACCCCCAAATGTGGCAAAAAATTATGTGAGATATCAATTTCTACAGACTTTCTTTGCTCATAGTTTTGTTGCTATGTGTAACACATTCAATCACAGAAAAACCAAGACCCCCTAATGTGGCAAAAACTTAAGTGAGATACCAATTTCTAAAGAAATTTCTATGATCATAGTTTTGTTGCTCTGTGTAAGACATTCAAGCACTGAAAACCAAAACCCCCGAATGTAGCAAAAAATTAAGTGATATACCAATTTCTAAATAATTTCTATGATCATAGTTTTGTTGTTCTGTGTACAACATTTAGGTACTGAAAAATCGAACCCCCAAATGTGGCAAAAAACTAAGTGAGATACCAATTTCAAGAAAAATTTCTTTAATCATAGTTTTGTTGCTCTGTGTAAGACAATCAAACACTGAAAAATCGAAACCCCCAAATTTGGCAAAAAATTGTGTTAGATACTAATTTCTAAATAAATTTTTGAGCTCATAGTTTTGTTGCTCTGTATAAGACATTCAAGCAATGGAAAATTGAAACCCTCAAATGTGGCCAAAAATTATGTGAGATACCAATTTCTATAGAAAATTCTATGATCATGGTTTTGTTGCTCTGTATAAGACATTCAACCGCTGAAAAACCAAAACCCCTAAATGTAGTAAAAAATTATGTGGTCGATTAATTTGTACGGATCATAGGCAAGCATTACTCATCCATAAGCAAGCATCGGTAATATGGCATCACTCATCCATAAGAAAGCATCACTAAAATGGCATCACTCATCCATAAGCAACCATGGTAAAATGGCATCCATAAGAAGCATTAGTAAAATGTAAAATAGCCATGGTAAAATGGCATCCATAAGAAGCATAAGTAAAATGGCATCCATACCTGAAATGGCATGCTTCAGATTTCAGAGGGAGGGGCGGACTTCCAATGAGAGAGAGAGAGAGGGGCGTGCTTCAGATTCACAGAGAGAGGCACAATGAGAGAGAGAGAGAGAGAGAGAGAGAGAGAGTACGTTGAGTAGTAGTAGTCGCCGTGAGTAAGTAGTTGTCGTTGGGACGAGCTGCGAGTAAGAAAGAGTGCGACGAGAAGAGAGGACACGAGACGGACGAACGG